ACAAAAGCATGTTGTATAAAATTAAAGTGTCTAACATGCTATTAACACATGAAGGGGGAAGCATCACCCCAAGTGCAGCAAGCATGTTGCTCAAGCTGCTTTAAAGCAAATGTGTGATTGTAAAGGGGGAAGCGTACACCCCTAGCAGCCGCAAGGTAAATACAACAAGCATGTTGTATATTGCATAATTAGTATACCGGTGGCAGTCCGGCAGAGAAAGCATACACCCTGCGGAAATAACTTCGAATGATTGTTCGCAATAGCATTCAGTGAATAGAATGAAACAACGATAATAATACAACAAAACATGAAAAGAGGAGAAAAAGAAAAAGAAAAAATCATAGCGACGAGAACCCTTTACTAGATTAGACGGATCCCATAGATTTTTTGAGCATCTAAAATGTCCTTAAGTCCAGGACGAACATAACGTTCGTATGTGACAGAAGACCATCGTCCAAGACATAGGTCTTCAACCCTGCTCCTGGAGACCCACTGTCCTGCAAAGTTTATTTTCAGCCTGCTTCAACACACCTGCCTATGATTTTTTTAAGCAGTCCTAAATACCCTGGTTAGCTGAACCAGAGATTGTCTTACTGTTAGGAGATGAGCGGGTCTGTATTACTTACTATTGGAGAAAGCGCAACGGTCAACTTGGATCACTGTACCTTAATAACCAATCACATTACAGCCTTGATGTCATTGAATTTCAGTCAGAGTTGTGCAACACTCAATCGCCGTTTACGGATCCCATAGGAATGAATGAGAAGTGCCATAAGCTGAATCTCATCTGTCGCAAAAAGTCAGTGATTTCTCTTATAAAACGGCTTTTTTTGTGGTTTAAACTCTAAAAATAGTTCAAACCAAAAGTATTGTTTAGTGTAAAACATGTTGGAGATTAGCCGATAGGCTGTCGATTCATTAAATGATAAGCTGTTTCCTCTAAAAAGCTGTTTATTCAGCGGAGTGAAGCCTCTCCTACATTGACATCCATTAAAAAAAACGGCCTCTGGTCTCCTTTCCCATGTACTGTCAAAGCGGAAGCTGGTTGCAGGCTTGCCTTCTAGTTGCTTTGGTTGAACTCCGCAGGACAATGAGTCTGCAGGATTGAAGACCTCTGATTTATGATATATGTGTAGCATTAACTTGGTATCAACATTTCATTTTTTAAATATCAGTTAGTCACATTTTTCAGTTGAAGTATATTGCGAGGAGCCATTCAAACACAGTAGGGTCAGTGTTTAAAATGTGATTGAGTGAGATTTAAATATTTTCATTTGAATGTGCTTGACTGCAATGATATTGAATAATGTCAGTTTAGTTGAAGTTTAGTTGACATGCTTTTTAAATTTGTGTCAGTGGGTTAAAAATGCTAATTAACATGAATGGCAGTATAGCATTTAACAATATATTTGAAAAGAAATGTTACCATTAGCATCTGTTGAGATGCTCAAGAGTGAAATTGACCATCAATCTTTCCTAATCAAAAAAGAATCCTCAGAAGTGAGCGGTGTCGCTCGCATTTCACTATCTAATCAATTTCAGATTATATAGTCAAATATAGATATAATCAAATCCCATCCCTACATAGTTTTCTCATTGAATAGCTGGTGTCACAGAAATAAAAATTGGTGCCCATTACTATTTCATGGTGGCTTAAAAAAATTATTTATACCTATATACATTTGACACACAGCTCTCTAAGTTTGACTTAAATATTAATGCACTATGGCTGTAATTTTCAATATGTTATCAGTGATCAGCATATTTATATGGTGGCAGAATTGTTACATTATTCCAAATAAATAGATAATGATCCACAAATAAATGTAAAAAGATTTACAAAAAATTAAACATATTGACAAATAAATAGAATGAGATTCACAAATAAATAATGATATTTGCAAATAAAAAACATATTCACAAATACATTTTTATGTCACAAACACAACTTTGCCAGCCATTCATTTGTGAATTGCGTCCTGTACATTTGTAGATCGCTGCACGCATTTGTGGATTGCTCGCTGCGCATTTGTGGATTTTAAAACATTTCTAGCGTCAAGACGCTGACAATCCACAAATGTATGGACTCCACCCACCATCTACTCGAGCCAATCAGATAACAGCCACACTTCGCTGACCAATCATAGCATGTTCTCGCTATAACCAATCTCGTTTTGCTTTACAATCAGGGCGGTCTCTTCCTGAAATAACTTCATTCATAATATGCATTGACTCAAATAGGAAATATAAGGGACATAAAAATGTATAGAGTAAAAGATGTTTAAAATTGGATTTCGTTAGATCATTAGACTGTGTATCAAGCCAAGCCACAGTATATTTTACATGCCTTTGAAAATGCCAGAGAAACAGCGCTTTAAATCACGGCTATGGGAACAATGCTGTACTGGATACAAACTCGTCATGGAAGCATCATTCAAGATGGAAAGAAAAGCGTCAATAAGTAACTGACTAATAACTGACTGGATTCAACCTCATGATAAACATGCGAGTTTGTGTAATAGGTTAAATTGCGTTTTTCAGTGAAGCAGTTTGGATGAGATGGATATGGATATGAGCAGCTAAGTGGAGCTAACAATGTATATAGCATTATAAATAATATTTTCAAACATTAATTAAAAGTATTACAAAGTTATTGCCAAAAATATAAGTGGGTTCTTTTTTAAATGTGGTGCAGGTGTGTTGAAAATAAATGGATATAAATGTAAGACAAGAGATATTTATTGGTTAAAACACTTGATCACGCAAACAATATTTCATATGAATCAGACTTACTAGTTTTGTTTGTAAAAGTTACTTAACAGCATCCAAAGTAGGTTTTTATTTACATTGTCCACTTGCAAAACTCCAGTACTACACGCTGCAGTGATGCTGAGACAGGTGCTCAGATGGTCATTTTGGCCCATAATTGATATTATACGTGTTATTATGCCCTATAATTGTTACCGCAATTGTGCTTTAAAAGGCTAAATAAACCATGTCTTACGCCGTGTCTCTGCTCGCTGTCGTGCTGCACTCCAACAGCTGTAACTGCAACTGGACGCATTAAAGGAAGTGTGCGAAACATTTGTCCTTCATCGTGTGGCGTCTCGTCCAGAGTAGACCGCGTCGCAGTAGATTTATATTTGTTTTGGATGCGTCGCGAGGGTATTACTAATTATGTTTGTGATCTCTGAATGATCATAAATTGTGTTCACTGATCCTGATGGAAATATAAAGAAACCGTACTCTCCAACAATCTTTTAAAAACCTGATTGTAAAGCAAAACGTGATTGGTTATAGCAAGAACGTGCTACGATTGGTCAGCGAAGTGTGCAGTTTCTGTGCTATGGTGGGGCCTGAAACCTGACTGAAATTGGTGTGCGCCTTGACGCTAGAAATGTCTCAAAATCCACAAATACGTGCAGCGATCTACAAAAGCACAGTGAGCTATCCACAAATGCACGCAGCGATCTACAAATGCACAGGACATGATTCACAAATAAATGCCAGGCAAAGTTGTGTTTGTAGAATAAAAAGATATTTGTGAATATGTTTTTTATTTTCAAGTCTCATTTTTTTATTTGTGAATATAATTAATGTTTGTGAAACTCTTGTGGTATTCTCATTCTATTTATTTTGTGAATATGTTTAGTTTTTGTTAATCGCTTTACATTTATTTGAGGACCATAATCTATTCATTTGGAATAATGCAACAATTTTACCCCCATATATTTATTAGTGAAGTATTAGTAAACGGTGGAATAATGCTGCTCTTGACCTTTCATCTGATGATAAAGGAAAAGTTAATGACTCTTCAAGCGTTAGAACTTGCCTTAAAGTATGACTTTAATTCACTTCTTTGATTTGTTATGGTGCCGTTCATAATTGCATCCCATGGGTGCCTGGGGATTGTTCCATCTACTAAGATGCTTCTAGATAACACTCCTCACAAACAGTCTACTTTTAATTAAATGTTTCCCCCTCCTGAAAAAAAGTTCTGTGGGGCTATTTTTTAAGCACCCTTCCTTGAGCTCATTTGTAACCTGTGTACTTGGATTTGGCATATTTCTGCAGGCTTTTTCAGAGGCTCCATTTACTGTTATAATAAGCAGAAGGGGGAAAATGGTGTGTGTGATTGCTATTCCCAAGAGGAGGAGAGAGCAATTACAATGGGCTAGTAGAGAGATCAGTCGTATGTGAAGTTGCTGATCATTTTTGCCAGTGCCTGTCTTAGGGCTCTTGCTAAGAATAATTGGGGTGATCTGAGCCCCCAGTCTGCCTTTATGAATGCACTAACTTGTATCAGTGAAAGCCCAGACCGAGGCTAAACACTTGAGTGCTAACATTCATAAACGTTAAAGGGGTCATATGACAAATTTAATTTTTTTGGAAGAGTTCAATGTACTAGGAACACGTATAGTAACTCATAACTGAAAACCCCAGTTTGAAAAGACGATTAAAAAATAAATAAATAAATAACTTGCACCAAGCTTCTGCAACTTTTTGATGTTAGCAATATTTCACACATTTGCACACATTTACAAGTGTGACTTTTTGTTTAATGACATGATATAATACTAATTTACCCTAAAGTAGTAAAAAAAAAATCATGCATTTTTTTTTGGTATTTTAGGCCATTTAGTTCTTATTCAGGTCTTGTTTTTATATTTCTCCATTTCACCATCATTTGAATAGGCAAATAAGCAGTACAGTAAAAGTCTACAAAGTTGAAACAAAGAAAAATATGAGAATCTATCTTATATTTGGGCCAGGTTTCTGCCATCTGTTTAAAAAAAAATATATATATATATATATACTTCAAATTTCAGCATGGGTTTTTCCTCTCAAAATGTAATAAGACTTTACAAAGAGGTTTTTATTAAAGAATGGACCCCGAGCAAAACCATGTACAACATCATTTCATTTGTCATATGACAAACCTCGATTATCTTGGTTAAATGAACAGATCCTTTAATCATACATTGAACTCTTTTGGGCAGGTGGATGACATCCTCGGGGAAGAGCGGCCCCACACAAGCAAGCAGAAGGCCCCAGCATCAGACCACACCCCGCCACTGGCCACTGTTGTTGAGGAAGCAGCCCAAACATCGACCAGAGAAGAAGTCTGTGTAACAGGGAATGTGCCAAGGTATTACACCTCCAGTGCCAGTAAAGGAAAATTATACTTTTTTTCATGAATTGTCGAAACTCGAATGATGAATTTCATTATGGGGTTCTGTGTAACCTGTAATATGCATGAAGTGCTTTACCGACAAAATAGGGCTCTGTGATTGAGCTTTAAACCTCTTGCTTCAGTGGCGTAAGTGTTGATTAGCGACACTGCTGTGCCCGATTTCCAGCAGGCCCTTGTACTCCCAAAACTGCCACTGTCTTCGGCAAATAGCATTACCAGTTGCCATGGCAATGTCTGGAATTAGAGATCTAGCAGAAGGTTGGGTCACGTCCTCTTACATCTTCCTGTCCAAGCACAAATGCCCCACCCGCTGCCCAGACTTCTGTCCGACACTGGTGTAGTCGGTGGGATGTTGTCAGATCAGCGTGTGTGAGGAGCTGCTTTCTGGGCCGGCCCACTCTTGTCTGGAGCAGCTAAACGGACAGAAGCAGCACACTTGTCTTTTATCATATGGCTCATACTGCACCCATTTCCCACCAGAAAATTAGACCCGTCCCACTTTATCTAGTTTCTCTGCTTCCCAGCAGTCATTAGCAGAACCACAGCGCTGTGTCTGCTGCCTGTGCCAACTCAATGAATGCAGTAGCGTAATCGTTAGGAGTTCAGAGCGGTGAACAATGAGATGTGGAAGAGAAAAATAATTTATTTGTCTCTCAAATTGTCTATTTGGCTCCAGAAGGACCTGCATCCAGTGATTACAGCTTCTCAGAGCAATCTGGTTTTCTCACCTGGTATTCTCATGTTCTTCTTTTTTATAATTTCCACACTTTTTTGTCCTCTGAAGTCGGTGAGATCAGAGGATGGTAAAGTTTTTTTTGCACTTATTTCGTTCTTGACGACAAACATTTTTTTCTGGTGCGGGTAGGGTCTCACGTTTTCGTCTGTATGTAGATTTAAAATGAAAAGATTAACTATTAAGCAGAAGACGTAACAAGAGTTATAGAAGCAGAAGACCTAAGGGATTGGGTAGGTGAATAAACATGGAGAGTAGTGAGATATGAAGGTGCTAAATTATGAAGAGCCTTGTAAGTGAAACGTAAAATCTTAAATTGAATCTGGTATTTAACTGGAAGTCAGTGGAGTTGTCTTAAGAACGGTCTTATAAACGTTGCAATTTTCCACGCACATATCGGGATTCATAAAAAATAAACTAGGCGTAAATATGTGCGCACCGTACGGACACTCGAGGATTGCTTGGCACATGATAATTCCGCTTTAAATTGTGTTCTAAATAGTAAAACTCATGTTCTGAGAAAATACTTTTGCGCGAATAATAATGATAATTTTTCTGAACTTGCCTTTGTTTGATGGCTTTGGAACATAGATGGTAATGACAGACATAAGGATGCGCTCGTTTATCAAACAGTCCATTGGTCTGATGACAGTAGAACCTCTGTTCACAGGTGTCGCGCACAGACAGTAGCCTAATGATAACCCCTTTTGTGCTCGTCACAATATTGTGACAAACACCATATTTAAAAGATACAATTTGAAGGAAACTGTAAGATATGCGCGTTTTATTTTCAAAATGTTTTGTTATTGATGCGGTGAGTCAGCTTCACTGCAAAAAAAATAAGGCCTATCTCTTTCCATAAAAATATAGGCTATAAACATTCTAAAATATATGTTTACCTTTTAGGCAAATTGCATAAATTAGAATAGTGATGTCTCAAAACGCATTTATAGTCCGTATCTCATATTTTCCTAACGTATT